CTGGCTTGCTAATCAATGCATGTGAAATAGAGGCATATGCTAAACAGTATGATAGCTTTAACATGCATAAGAAAATAAAGGAAATGACAAATACACTGAGAAAAAAGAAAGATACCCTTCTGAAAGACGCAAATGGAAAAATTATTATAGAAATTAAAGAGAAATTAAAAAATGGAAGACATAACTCGCTGTTTGAGGATAATCGACAAGAACCGGAAGAAATCAACAGCGAAACGGGACCAGAGATCATAATGGAGGAAATCGAACAAGCAATACGAAACGCAAAAAACGGAAAAACTGTAGGTCCAGACGAAATACCTGCGGAACTACTGAAATGTTAGACGATGAAACTCTACCTGTACTTCTGGACCTATTTAATGAAGTATATAAAATCTGGAAAAATCCCACAGGAATGGTTGGTGTCCACCTTTGTAGCAATACCAAAAACAGTATATGCCAAAGATTGTTCCCGACAAGATTGACACCAGAACGTCTATCCCCCTCATCACCTTTTCTTCGAACCAACCTGATTTTGACATAAAGGTTGAGTATAAATCAGACTCAGATCCATAAACTAGTATTATTACGATTTTTAGTATTATATTTTAAATATTAAGTTGTAGAAAGACGCACTATTGAGGGAAAAGAGTAATTTAATGCCTATTAGGTTATCGTTATTAACTTTGTTAAATGTGAGCTGATTTAAATTAAGTTGTGATTTATAAGTAACCACATTTCTGTAACAGTTATACCTAACATATCGATGAGTGCCTTCTCTATTTTGTTGTTAGAGTTATCAATATATTTAATTTCCAAATATTAACCAGAGTTTGTAAAGGGCCTCGGGTCTTTAGTGATATATTTGTTTATAATAATATAATATTTGTCCACGTTTGGTCTACTATAAAACAAGGGAGTGTTTAGATATTAGCGTTGCAATACATATCAACACGTGGAGAATGACCTCAAAATGAAAGATATAAATTTAGCAGCGGAATTCAGTTATCTTCAACTATTGTAGAATAATTAAATATACAGTCCACGAGCTATCGAAGAAGCAAAATATTCAGGGGGTGAAACTATTCCTCATACTAAGCATAATCACCCTACCCAGTCTTATACAGACTTATTACCATTCCTTGTTATATACATGGCGATCCTGATATTACTTTAACTCTTCGGACGGATTTAATTATTATTTTCAAATATTTTCGGTTTTGTTTTGAATTTTACTAGGGCAAATAAAGAAAAAAATTAAATTTTGTGTAATAATTATATTTTTGTTTATTATATGTGATTTAAAAAACAAGTGGTGCTTATATGTGGCCACTAGGGAATGACAACAATACATTAAAATAAAAAAAGAGGTAAAAAGTTACTTTTGATGGAATTTAAAAAACAATTTGACATCTAGTTCGATAGAGTTCTGCTCTCGTGCTGCAATTTACACATCACACCTTTGTGCCATACACTGGCACAATGTGCAGTCTTATCAAACCGTTTTTTATACGAAACTACAGGTTTATATCTATTCGGGATAGCTTCAGTACTCTTTATTCCTCTCTCTGGTAGTTCTGGATTAGACGCAATAAATCCAGTAGCTACAGCAAATCTAAATTCTTTCAAATTCAAAGTTTTACCTTCATTGAACTGATTTTTGAATAATATAGCGTTGTTCTAACATCTAAATCTAAGAAATGTCAAAATAATCTGTGACACCATTTTTAGATTTTCTGTCCATTTTATATTTTGCGGCATGTTGATCAGATTTATCGACAAAATGCATACGTCTGTTATAATCCGTGACTAAATGGGTTCATGTCCGTCTTTTTTTCAGTTTTGTATCTTTCCATTGCAAATGCAACAGCCCTTCTTTGCTCATTCGGGAATAGGTATCGCCTTTGTTCATGAATTTCTCAAGTTTTAAGTGCTTAGGCTCCTTTTTCGTCCTTTCTTACAGTTCCACAAGTACATATACCACCATTTAGTAAATCTTGCTCTAGTTCTACGTCATTAAAATATTGTCAAAATATATTCTATGATGCTTCCCTACAAATAACGGGTAATGTCTTTCACGACATGAATTGAACATTGAAAATCTCAGTGTTACGAGTTCTTCTAGTATTAACATTAAAACTTATTGAACTTAGTAACTCTGGATCTTGAACATATCCATTTATAATTTTAAAAAGGAAACATAAATCCGCTTGACATCTTCTATCATGTAGTGATGAGATATTTAGTATTGACAGTATATCATCATATGTGTATTGCTGTCTAATAAAACCAATTTTGTAAGCACATACCCTCAAGAATTTATTTTGAACTCTCTCGATACTGTTGATGTCACTGTTATATGAAGGAGACCAAATGAGAGAACCATACTCCAAAACTGATGGAACTAAACTAAAGTATAACATTTTTAAAGTTTGTATTGAAAACTGATTACAGTTTCTAAGAATAAATCCTAACATTTTTAAAGCTTTAGCTGAAGTTTCGTTAATGTGATATTTAAAAGTTAGTTTAGAATCAAAATTTATACCTAAATCTTTAATATTATGACGTGCCTCTCGTGTTTGTAAATTATGATTATACAATAATCATAATTTACAAACTCTCTTGATCTTCCAAAAGTAATTTAAAACATTTTTGTATATTTAAGTATAGCATGTTTACCTCACACCAACTAGCTAAGCTTTTAATGTTATTCTGTAATAAAGAGGCATCAACTAGGTCATTAACTATTCGAAATATTTTAAGGTCATCAGCAAACATTAGAAATTTACTATTTTTAATCACTGAGGATATATCATTAACAAATATATTAAATAAGAGACGCCCAATATGCGACCCCTGAGGATCTCCTGAGGTTACAGATACTCGTTGAGATAAAAAAATTTCCATATTTAACATACTACTTTAACATCTACCAGATATATAACTACCTATCCACTCAATTATTTTACCTCCAAATCCATAGCCATTTAATTTAGCAATAAGCAGATCATGGTTAACTCTATCGAAGGCTTTTGAGAAGTCTGTGTAGATAGCGTGAACCTGACCCTTCTCTTCCACTGAATTAGCTATAAAATTCGTATACAATATTAAGTTCGTGCATGTAGACTTACCCTTAGAAAAGCCATGTTGTCTAACATCAATTAAATCTTTACAATTCCATGGCAAAAAGTTATTTACAAGACACTCAAAAAGTTTGGATAATACAGATTGGCTACAAACCGCTCGATAATTCTCAACATCATTTTTATTACCAGACTTGAAAATTGGTGTTAAATAACTAGTCTTCCAAAGATCAGGAAAGATGCCGGTACTCAATGAGGAATTAAATAAGTAGCAGATAGGTTTTACAAGAGTGAAAATGCAATGCTTGAGAACATAAGCTGGCAAACAATCTGGTCCAAGCGATAATTTCCAAGGCATCTTTAAAACACTATCAATTATGTCAGAGACCTCAATACTATAATTATTCACATTTACACTCTGCTGATAGTTAAAAATTGGGATCTGATTAATTTTAGAATTAGAATATGTAGTTGAGAAAAACTTACCAAATAGATTGACTATGTCTTGAGCATTAATCACTTGTACTATCACCGTAGAACATATTAGATGGCAGATTATAACTTTTACGTTTATTATTGATATATTTCCAAAAATGTCGAGGATTAGATAGAATCCCATTCTCAATATTATTCAAATAGTTACTATAACATTGAGAGGAGACTTGTTTAATTTCATTTCTTAACTGAGAAAATCTTAAACAATCATCCCTTCTACCAAACAATTTATACTGCTTATGTAATTTCTTTTTTAAATATATCAACTTCCTTAATTTACCATTAATCCAAATCGGAAACGAACTTGTTTTAAAATTTTTGATCGGAACAAAGAAGTCAAAACATGTAAACATAAAATCATAAAATACTGCTAAGCTATAATTCACATCATCTGATAAAAGTAAGTCCCAATTTAAACTTGCAAAGTAATCATTTAGTCCGATGTAATTTGCATTTTTAAAATCATAATAAAATTCCTCGTAGTTCAGTTGATCATGCTTTTCAAAACCAGTTAATTCTACAATTATAGGTGAATGGTGGATATTATTATCAAATAGTGAATCAAGTGGAATAACTACATCAACATTATTTAAATTAGTAAATACTAAATCTAGAAAGACATTACGACTGTTAGGTAAATTGTTTATTTGAAACATATTAAAATATCCAAAAGAATTTGCCAAATACACAGCAGGATAGTCTTCAGGACATTCAACATTTAATCCAAAGTTGTCATTACTCCAGGAAGCATTTGGTAAATTATAATCACCACACAGTAACAAGTTTTCACACTTCTCACTTTCAGTGATACAAAACTTTCAGTGATACAAAAATTTGTTCTACTTCACAATCGGGGATTATGACTTTCTGCGCACTTATGTCATTTTTAACAGCAATCAACACACCTCCACCCCTAGTTTTTCCTGTAGAAGCAGGATTACGATCATTTCTAAACACGTTATAACCAATAAGTCCTAATTCTGCATCGCTATATTCACAATTTAACCAAGTTTCCACCAAAATGATTATATGATAATTACATTGAGCTATGACAATTTCCAGTGACTTTAGTTTTGTTCCTAATCCACCAACATTTTGATAATAAATTGATAACGGAGGTGCACTTATATGTTTCGTTGTGTCTAGTTTTTTGTGTAGAATTATCATTTTTGCAAATTTTGGGTATACCTTTAATATATAACGAATAATTATATATTATATAATTAAAAGAAGCTTTTGAACATAAGTACAAATATTGTTAATATTGCTAATATGTTAAAAATGTTGTGTATCAAAATTCAATATTCTTTAACATTTTTACAGTTTAATATCATTGTTCCCCATTTTTGACAACACAAAGGGTATAAAAGTGTTATCAACTTGGTTGTTTATAGACATTAATAAACTAATGCACAATCCACTTACCTTACTGAAGTACCCCACCGTGTGGCATCCCTCATTATCGACCATGGTCATCACATAAAACAAAAACGGCTCCACGTCATAGTATAAAGTTTTGTGGTCCAAGAAAAACTTAGCAAGAAGGCACAAATTTTGACAGTACTGTTTATACCGCTTTCCGTCCACTTCCCACACCGAAATCTTGTCTCTACGATACACTTCTTCGCCCGGGGGATGGCGCCACACGCACTTTACTATATGACGGTGCAAAATCGTATGTGACTTCATGTATCGAAGACAGAACTCGCAGATGTACAGTTTTGGGAGTCTGGCGTAATCTTCTGGATAGGGACTTTGGTACCAAACCTCCATCTCGAATTTGCCCATTTCTATGTATTTTGTTCCTATTGAAAATGGTCTATTTTAGTATGAAGATATGCATACATTATACGACTACTTAAATGGTGGGTTAGCGGTTAGCACGATTTTTTAATTCGTGTAAAATATTTTCTTAATTATGGATTTTTTATAGTTGGACATTATACCATGCGCTGGAATAAGTATAACCACTTCAACCGTTTACAACGGTCGGATTTTGAAATAATTATAGCATATTGCAGTGGCAATAAAATTTTGAACTTTATATGATGTCATTACTATTTTTATTGGAAAAAAGCCACAATTTAAGTTTAAAATAAGTTTAGTTTTGATGTTTCACTTTCTATTTCGCAAATCGTTCTTAAAAAACCACAATAAAGTGGAAATTGAAACGTCAAAAATAAATTTATTTAACTCAAATTGTGGCTTATTCCTAATAAAAATAGTAATTGCATTAAGATGCCACAAGAAAATAGCTTCAGAACAATATTTACATGTCTGTTTCGATTTTTCGATTTTTTTTCTAAATGAGAAAGTACATAATATAAAACTTCAGTTTAAAGCTTTTGAAATACTGATTTAAAATAATGTATTTGATTCGAAATTTTACATGTTATTTGTTTATATTTCGAATATTATAGAAATATGCTTTATTGTCACTGAAAATTGTACAATTTTATCGACAAAGCTTACAAAATATTGTTCTGAAGCTATTTTCTTGTGGCATTGTAAATTAATTACTATTAAATTACTATTAATTATATATATATATATATATATATATATATAATATATATATATATATATATATATTTGGGTATCACATGCAGCAACGTAAACTTATTAGTTCATAAGATTTTATTATGCAATTTGCAATTTATTTAAATTTTGCAATTGATTGTGAATTTTATTATCTTGACTATACTATTTTATTATCCCGACATTGTAAGTATTTGTTCGTGAATTTAGTTTACCTTCAACAAACATCAAAATTCTGATTTTATATGTTACGTTATTTAAAAAAACATAAATGATTTATCCTCTATATGTTACTGACTTACTAATACTGGTATTTTCTTATTAATAACTTCCTCTTTCAATATTGGTAACCACGAATTTAATTTAATTAATCAACAATCGATCGAATAGAACAGAACAACTTAGAACGAGATCCTACAGCATACACAAGGAATAATATGAGGAAAATAACAATACCGTACATAAAAGGACTATCAGAAAAACTTAAAAGGATAGGAAATAAATTCAACATTTCAACAACATTCAAAACAACAAACACATTGAGATCTATTTTGTCCAAAACCAAACCTAACAATGAACAAGAAAGGACAAAGAATTGCATTTATAAAATACCTTGTGAATGCGATCAGTTTTATTTAGGTGAATCATCAAGGCCATTAAATGTTAGAATAAGTGAACATCAATCTTATATTAAAAATAGAGAATTTGATAGATCTCAAATCTGTAAACACGCATGGGATAATGAACATAGGGTTCAATGGAATAATTCAAATGTAGTCCTAAAAGAAACGGATGGTAAAAAAAGAAAAATCAAAGAAGCGGCTCTAATTATGCTAAATGAGGCCAATTGTGTCGCAAATTCCTCGGCAGAATGTAGTAGGATCTGGTTACCAATATTGAAAGAGGAAGTTATTAATAAGAAAATACCAGTATTAGTAAGTCAGTAACATATAGAGGATACATCATTTATGTTTTTTTAAATAACGTAACATATAAAATCAGAATTTTGATGTTTATTGAAGGTAAACTAAATTCACGAACAAATACTTACAATGTCGGGATAGTATTATGAGGTTTTTTTCCTGGTTTTTCCCTCATAATTTACTATGGAATCACTAACAGGAGAATTTTACTGTCATCATGTCATGTGTTTGTCTTTTTAAAGACGAATTACAAGCTATGATTTTTTTCTGACAGATATTCTCAAGTTAAAGTTGATTTCATGTAATTGAATGAACTATCTTATAAGTAAAGTCGTCCCAGGAGCGCAACTCAACAATATTGGCATTATCATTTTAAAGTCGTCTACTTTAAAATGCATAATGTATGTCTGAATTGTCAATATAAATGAGTCAGATAAAATTAAATTATTAGTAGAATTTTTCACTATGTAACAAAAAACAAAATTTGTTTAATTTACTGTTTGTATTTTGAGAACGATTTCCGAAGTGGAAATTGAAACGTCAATAAACGTATTTTTATCTTTAATTGTGGCTTATTCCCAGTTTAATAGTAATTAAAGCTTACAAAAAGTTAGAAAAATGACCATAACAACTTAAAATTTACACATATATCGTCAATATCCCAAAATAAAAGATAATAAAATTCACAATCAATTGCAAAATTTAAATAAATTGCAAATTGCATAATAAAATCTTATGAACTAATAAGTTTACGTTGCTGCATGTGATACCCAAATATATATATATATATATATATATATATATATATATATATATATATATATATATGTATATACTTAGGTTACTTGTACATAAAGGTACTGTAATTTCTTCATCATAATCATCATCATCATCACGATGCAACCTCTTCTGTCCACTGCAGGACATAGGTCTCTCCCATTTTTCGCCACTCTTCACGGATTTGTGCGTCTTGTGCCATTTCTTGGATATTCGTTTAACGTCGTCCATCTAGCGTGTCGGTGGTCGTTCTAATTTCTAAGCTATTAGTAATTTCTTACCTATTATTTAAGAAATTCTTCTACTGAATAAGACAGATAGGCTTTTGTCATTTTACGGAACTTAAGGAAAGAAGATATCGTAAAACACATTTAGATAGGACGTCTGAGGTGGGTAGGCCATGTAATGCGGATGGAGCAAATCGACCCAGCTAGAAAAACGCTCCTTGATAGACCTATTGGTCAAAGAAGAAGAGGAAGACCCAGAACAAGATTCCTAGATAACATAGACCAAGATATGAGAAATATGGAAATACGTGCTTGGCGGAGGAAGGCGATGGATAGGGACGACTGGAAGAGAATTCTTGGGGAGGCTAGGACCCACACAGGGTTGTAAAGCCAAAATGATGATGATAAGAAATGTACACATCAAAGGTTGAATTTCTTTTGGAATAGTCATGATTAGGTCTTGCTGGAAAGATATGTAGATGTTTACGAATTAATCAAACGGTTTCTAAAATATATAAAGAGGGAAGAGTTAAAATCCCCTGATTTTTGAAGTAGCTTCTGCAACATGTTATTTTACTGAGGCCAAAAAGATACCGTATTGCTCTTTTTTGTAATTTAAAAATAATATCAGATTGGACAGCTGTACTAAAACCCCAAAAAGGAAGACCATATCGAAGATGAGACTCGAACAAAGAAAAATATGTTATTTTGGAAGATGCTAAATTGATTTCCTTCGAAACAGATCTTATTGCATAGCAGGCTGAGGCTAGTTTCTTACTTAACAAATCAATATGAAGGGATCATTTAAGGTTGCTATCTATAAAATACCAAGAAATTTTACAGAATCGAAGATACTGATCTGGCTGTTATTAAGAAGCAAGGGTTGAAGAGCTCCTTTATAGGATAATGCTACTGTCTTATCCACGTTAAAAGAGAGCAAATTGCAGTCAGACCAGGAATTCATTTTAAGTAGATCAGAAGTTATAGTTACATAAAGAGTTGCAATATTAGAGTTCCTCCAGGTGATACTGGTATCATCAGCAGAAAGATAAGGAAAAGCAGAGGACCCACTACTGAATCTTGTGGTACTCCACATACAATGCTTTTGTGACTAGTCAGTATCATTTGATATAACTAGTTGATTTCTATTCCCCAAGTAAGATTGGAACCAATTCAAAGAAATATCTCGAATTCCGTAGAAATTTGGTTTTTTTATCAAAATATCGTGATTTACACAATCAAAAGCTTTGGAGTCACAGAAAACAGTGGTAGTGTAAAGATTATTGTTTAGTGCTTGATAGACCTCACGTAGTATAGAAAACATAGCATCACTGGTACATTTATTAGATAAAAAGCCGAACTGACTTTGTGATAAAATGTTGCTTTCAACGAGAAAGGAAAGTCGGGGCTTTATAAGTCTTTAAAATTTTGGATAGGACAGATAGTACAGCAATAAGTCTATAGTTGCAGACATTCGATTTTTCACCACCCTTATGAAGAGGAATAGAAATAATCTATAGTAATAATCTAATATATAGTAATAATCTATAGGCACTCTGGAAATGAACCTTTTTCAAAAGAATCATTCATTAGTGAGGCCAGGACTTCCAACATATTTTTTTATGGATAGTCCATCAGTACTACATGAAGATTTGCTTTTGATACTATTGATTGATTGGATCAGTTCATATTTATTCACTGGTCTTATAAAGACTGAACTCGAGACTTTTTTGATTTTTTTGAATTGAGGATATAAGAAATAGGATCTTGTGGCAAAATAGTTAATGTAATATTTTTGTTCACACATTTATATTTTCTGCTGTGTTAGTTTTATTTCGAAGATCGTTAATTATAGACCAAGTTTCTTTTGCGACATTTTTAGAGTTTTCCAGACGATTTTGATAGTACATTTTTAGCTCTTTTGATAAGTTTTAGATACGTTCCTCTGTACTTGGTAATATACTCAGTGACAAAGAGATTGGTAGTAAATTTTTTTATGTACAGATGAACGCATATTCTCGGCTGATATGAGGATACTTTAGTAGTCCAGGGTTTGTGATGTTTTGACTTGATTGTAATTAAAGGAAATGCCTTATTGAAAATACAGATAAGCCTATCTAAGTGCCATCCAGAAGTCAAGCACAAAAATTGGAATTTACCAAAGTTCTGAGCGGAAAACATTCCTAAACGTTGAGTTTTCAAGGATGGTTTGTTGAGAGTATTAAACTATTAAACTTGGTATATACTGCTTCATGATCAGATAGTCCTTTATTAATAATTGTGAAGCGTACATCGGGGATGAGAAATCTGAGACAATATTATCGATTATGGTAGATATTGTTTTAGTAATTCTTCTAGGGGAATTAACGTGCATTGTAAATCCATACGACTTGAATGTTAAAAATTAATTGGAAAAATATTAATGGATTTTTGTCCGATGTATTGAGGTTTTGGTAGATGATAGTGGATATTTTCATTTAAATAAGTTAGTAAAAAAAACTTTATGTACTCTTAAATGAATGATTGAATATGAATATATCTAGGTAACAAATTGCAAGTAAGATCTAATACTGGATACAGAAACATAAACGAATTACAGAGTAATTATAAGCTTGTAGTATTTTATTGTCCATTCAGTATACCATAAAAATTCCATAAGGTTTTGTTTAAACTTAAAAGGGATAATTCCCGGGAGTAGGCTGTATACCATATAGTTAAAAAAACACGAACATCGAAGAAAACACTTCTGTTATAAGTGGTATATTTAATTAAAATTAAATTTAAAAATCCAAATGGATTGCAAGTTCAGAACGTTTTCGGACATCTTCAGTGAACTTTTGTTAGTACTTGCGCAAATATCCGAAAACCAAACATTAGTTGGGTTTACATTGATGAAACCATACTTGAAAATATTCAATTATACGGCAGTATTTCTATGAAATTTGATTATTGTCCGGGAATGTAAGACCCTACTCAAAAAAATTATTTCTACATCCAAACTGTGAGCATGGATGAAGCCAACTTAAGTTGGCTTCGGCCATCGTCTGGAAAAAGTACATTTGGAAAAATAATAGCAAAACTGTTATTACTTTTTATTTTTCAGAGCTGATAAAAACTATTAATCGAATCGAATAATACAACGAAAATTTACATATTTGACATCAGTAGTTGAAAAGCTTTTAAATGAAGTTCCATATGACGTAGCTTCTTATTAAAAAAATTTGAATTTATGACAGTAATCTGAATACAGTGGAACTTGGATATTACGGCCTTGGTAGTTACGTGATCTCGGTTGTAACGTCAATTTGTAATAGGTCCGCCCAAAAACTATTCAATATCATTATGAAAAACCTGGTTTTATCGGCTAAAAATAAAGTAAGCCTCGCCTATAGCGTCATAAAATTTTTACAGTAGGTTGTCCTTTTTTATTTTATGAAGAATAAAGTGCAATGCGTTTCCGGCTTTGCGGCATTGTTCCTTCCAAGAATGTGAGAACGCCCGATTATTTCTTCTGTGTACAGTTATGTGACCTTGACAGTTCTATGATTTCTCATTTATCAGCGCCATCCAACAGTCAAATTTTCTGTTTCGGAAAAGTCAGATGAGAAATTTTCGCTACCGTGAAATTGTGTTCGCCTCGTTTTGTTTTTAGATTTTAATTCAGTAATTAGGATTTAGTAGTTAAGAAAAATATTAGGAAGTCCATTCGTGGTGATGTAGATTCAGCACTACTCAAATGGTTCAAGCAGTGTCGCGGTTCTGATATTCCTGTGTCCGGGAGAGAGGCAAAATTTGTGGACGAGAACGTGACAGGTGATTGGTTACAAAACACATGGCCACAACTAAGGTAACCATACAAGGTTGAAGATATCTTCAATGGCGATGAAATTGGTGTCTTTTATAAATTAACGCCAGACAAAAATTTCAAAAATCAAAAATGTGTTGGTAGAAAGCTTTTAAAACAAAGAGTCACGGCTTTTGTTTGTGCAAACATGACAGGTACAGAGAAAAGAAAGCTTTTGGTTATTGGGAAAAGTTTACATCCTAGATGTTTCAAAAACATAAAAACACTGCCTGTAAACTACACAGCCAACGAAAAAACGTGGATGACTTCTGCTACTTTTGAAGAAGAATTGAGAAAGTGGGACAAGGAACTCTCTTCAAAAAAAAAAAGAAAAATTCTTCTCTTAGTTGACAACTGTGCAGCCCCATCCCAAGCTTAATTTGACCAATATTAACCTAGTTTTCTTACCAGCCAACTGCACAAGTGTCTTGCATCCTATGGACCAAAGAGTCATAAGAAGTTTAAAGTGCCATTATCGGAAACAGCTTTTGAAAGGATGATTTTTTGTATGGACAATGGGGAACCCGCGAACATTACCATCCTTGATGCAGTTCAGTTTTTAGAAAATTACTGGAGTGCGGTTACATCAGTGATAATTTGTAAATGCTTTAGTCAAGCTAAATTGACTGTAGTTTCTCCCAATGATCAGAATGTTGATGAGGATGACGAAATGCCTTTGTCAGAGTGGATACAAAATTTAGTGTAAACCAGAGAGCGTTTGGAACTGATCTTGATTTCAGTAGCCCATCAGGTAGAAACATTTGAAGTTTGAAGTGATAAAGGAATTATGGAAAATAACATAACAACAATATATGGACATGGACATAACATGGACATAACATGACATGGACATAACAAAATATGGAAATGAATGTTGATAAAGATAGTTAAGAAGATTGCGTTGATTGTCCTACAATCCAAGAACTAATGAAATCTGCTGAGACCATATCCAGGTTTTGTCAGTTCAGGTGGGTATCCACAAATACCAAAGAAGCAGCTCAAATTATTAAGGGCACTACAGAAAAACTTTATTTTTCGGAAAGGGTTGTGCAGAAGAAAATAACTGACTTTTTTCAGCATTAGAGAACTTCTTCATAAAAAATATAAGTTTCGTATACATGATATGTTTTATTTCTTAATTTTTTTTATCCTAAATACAGCTGTAATAATAAATGCTGTAATAAAAATTTGCTCCGTTAAAATTTTATTTTTTTCTACATCTTTGTATCAGATTGTCAAATATGTTTTAATATAAATTATACATACAGTGCAGATTCAGATGTTTTATCTATATCTTACCTTTGGAACTCGGAAGGTTCTTCAGATCTTCCTCGATCATCTCGCTTGCCAAAGCTTGAGCGTCTTGAAACAACTTTAGATCGTACTCTGGTACAAAGTTGTTGAGATCTGGTTCCTTCGTGCGATCAACGCACGGTTTTATATCTTCAATTATTTCCATTTTGAATTTGGCTCTCATGTCCCTTATTCGTTGCAAAAACTGTTTTTGTTCGGAAGTGGCATTCGGTCGTGGTGTTTTTTTGTGAAATTCTAGAGCTTTTTTTCGAGCTTCTTCTCGCTTCTTTCTTTCGTCGAGCAACTAGAATGTTATAAAAAAAAGTAAGTTAATACAATAAAAAATTGAAAAACAAAAATCTTTATTTGTATCAATTTGTGCTCAAATATTAATACTGTTTGATTATCGAAGAATTCGTACAATAAAATTGCCTTGTAGAACTCAATGTTTTTGTGAAAAGTAACACACCTCAGTTTTTGTGTCAGAAATTGATAATCCTATTTGGATTTACGATTTCTAATGTGACTTTCAAATTATCCTCACAGGTACTTAACAATTTTTCCGCTGTATATAAAACAACGGACCATAGCGATGAACAGCAAATTGAGTTTGAACATAAATAGCAAAATAAAAAATAAGAATATGTACCTAAATATTGCTACATGGAATGTACGAGGAGTATACGAGGAGGGAGCATTAATTAACCTAATAGAAGAACTAAAATAATATAAAATACACATCTTAGCAATACAGGAAACACATTTAACTGGAAACAACATTAAAAAGATTAGCCCATACACGTTTTACACAAGTGGAAGCGATAATAGAAATTTTGTAGTGGGTTTTCTGGTACATGAAGACGTGCAGCAGGCAAAACGATTCGTAGTAAAATCTGATAGAATATGTGCAATTAGAATTAAAGGAAAAGAGAATATGATATCGTTGATAAATATACATGCTCCAACAGAAGAAAAAGAAGAAGTAAAAGACGAATTTTATGAAGTATTAGAGTCATTGTGTGAAGAAATGCCCAGAAAAAAAAACTAAAATTATTATAGGCGACGCCAATGCAAAGATCGGAAGAGAAGATATATATAAAAACATAACAGGGGGTGAAAGTAAACATTTGAATACAAATGATAACGGACAAAGATTAATAACATTCGCAATTGAAAACAGGATGAAGATGAGTACCCATTTTAGGAAGAAAAATATATATAAAGGAACGTGGAAAATTCCGGGAACAAATGGAACTAATCAAATAGACCACATCTTAATACAAGAGAAGTTTGCCAATTTAATAACAAATGTGAAAACGTGCAGAGGAGCTGACGTAGACTCAGATCATTTTTTGTTTAAAATTAATATGAGAGAAGCAATAATTAAAAAGCATAAACGGAAAAAGAAAGGGCAACGTAAATTTAACTTTAACAAACTGCGAAAATTTGAGGTAGCGCAGGATTATCAAAAGGATATACAAGAAACCTACGCCAAACAAGATGGTACTACTGTGAGTAACATACAACAAAAGTTCTTGAAAATGACAAACACTATAAAGGAAGCTACGTCGAAGAACATACCATATACAAAAAGATTTAGAAAAAACCACTGATTCAATGAAGAATGTAGAACAGAGTTAAAAAAGAGATCAGATTTGAGATTAAAAAGTTTACGATCGCAAAAACAAGACGACCTATGCCGAACAGCGAAAAAAAGTAAAGAGAATCCTAAGGGAGCGGAAACGAAAGTATATGAATGATAAAATTAGGCGCATTGAAGAAAATTACAAGAAAAATGAAATAAAAATTTTTTATAAAGAAGTAAAATACATCAAAACTGGGTACTAGGGAAGAACGATAAATGTAAAAGATAAGCAAGGAAACCTGATAGTGGACGAAGACCAAATATGTGAAAGGTGGACAGAATATTTCGAAGAAATGCTAAATAAAGAAGTGACTACTGAAGAAAATTGTTATATTCCTAAACCTGAAATAGTAATAGAAGAAATACCAGAGCTCACAAGAGAAGAAATTGAAGAAATAATAAAAGATATGAAAAATCAAAAAAGCCCCGGGTAGAGCGGCATTGTGGCAGAGAACATAAAATATGGAGGAGAGGCCTTAATAAACAAACTTTGTGAGCTAATACTAGAAGTATGGGATGCCGGAGAAATGCCTCAAGAATGGAATAATTCGATTATAATTCTTATACACAAAAAGGGAGATAGAACTGAATGCGCAAACTATAGAGGAATATCCTTATTAGAGGTAATTTATAAAATACTGGCCATACTAATTAAAAAACGATTAGAAATATATATATATATATATATATATATATATATATATATATATATATATATATATATATATATATATATATATATATATATATATATATAACAATTTATTGTTTTGGAGTATCAGGTATGCGGTCTGTTATTAAAAAAACTCTTTTTTCTTTTATGACTCTATATTTCGCTGATTTTTGTCAGCTTCTTCAGGAGATAACTAAAATATGGTTAAAATTGTATATACATCACAGGTGATAATAAACAATGAATTTACTTACAGATTAAGAGTTAAAATATTTAAAAATCTTGAACATAATATATTCAAAACAGTACTGACAGTATTAGTCAAAAGCATCTAGTCACTAGTAATTAAATATAACAAAAAATATAATAAATAGGAAACAAAAACAAACAAGAAACAATAAAAACACAATAAAATTACATATTAAAAATATACAGGGTGATTTAAAATATAATTGTAAAAAGAAAAATTATTTGAACATACTAAGAATATTACAGTAGATGTTGCTCAACTGTCCCGTATCTGCCTTATAATTAACTGCATATTTTTCTTTATTAATGTGTCACATTAATAAAGAAAAATATGCAGTTAATTATAAGGCAGATACGGGACAGTTGAGCAACATCTACTGTAATATTCTTAGTATGTTCAAATAATTTTTCTTTTTACGATTATATTTTAAATCACCCTGTATATTTTTAATATGTAATTTTATTGTGTTTTTATTGTTTCTTGTTTGTTTTTGTTTCCTATTTATTATATTTTTTGTTATATTTAATTACTAGTGACTAGATGCTTTTGACTAATACTGTCAGTACTGTTTTGAATATATTATGTTCAAGATTTTTAAATATTTTAACTTTTAATCTGTAAGTAAATTCATTGTTTATTATCACCTGTGATGTATATACAATTTTAACCATATTTTAGTTATCTCCTGAAGAAGCTGACAAAAATCAGCGAAATATAGAGTCATAAAAGAAAAAAGAGTTTTTTTTAATAACAGACCGCATACCTGATACTCCAAAACAATAAATTGTTATTTACGTTTCGGTCGATAATCCTACCAGTTTTGCTATATATATATATATATATATATATATATATATATATATATATATATATATATATATATATATATATATAGAGAGAGAGAGAGAGAGAGAGAGAGAGAGAGAGAGAGAGAGAAAGAGAGAAGAATCTAAGAAAATACCAGGGAGGATTTCGGAAAGGAAGATCAACAACCGATCAAATTTTTATGCTAAAACAAATCCTCATCAATTGCTATGAATACAACATTTCAGCGCAAGTACTTTTCATTGATTACAAAACTGCCTACTATACAATAGACAGAAATAAGTTAATAGAAACACTAAAAGAAAGAATTCCAGGGGCAGAAAAAATAATAAAATTGGTAAAAATGACAATTAGACAAACCATTTGTGCTGTGAGATGCAACGGTACAGTCTCAGAAGAATTCGAAGTGAAAAAAGGTGTTCGCCAAGGAGATCCGTTGTCTACATTGCTATTCAATATAGTTCTAGAAAAAATTGTAAGAGTTATTGGGATAAATAGGTCCGGAACTATTTTATACAAGGAGCACCAATGCTTAGCATACGCTGATGATGTGGTTTTCATTGCAAGAAATGGAAAAGAGCTATCAAATATAACAAAAAGACTGATTCGGGAAAGCTCTAAAATGGGACTGAAAGTTAATATTAATAAATCGAAGTACATGAAGATCTCTATCAAAAGTTAGTGTTAGAATATAAAGATTTTAAAAAGAGAAAAAATGATCTAGGGATTCCAATATACAAGATTTTTTGGTAGAGAATGTCCAAATTGACATTATCAAAAGCAGCGGAAATCAGGGGCGGCTGGTCCTATGAGGCAGGTGAGGCAGTGCCTCACCAGTATTAATCGACTATTTACGTTCTTTAACTACAATTTAACTTTTTGGAATTTTCTAAATAACTTTATTTTCATTATGATAAAAAATTAAAATAGGTACACCCTTGATGTCTTATCTTTGTATATTTCTTCATAATCTACGGGCCGGACAAGGGACAAGCTTAAACCACAAAATATTAAATAAACAACGGCGCCTATCATCTGTGCATCTCATTCTCTCTTTAAAAATTATAGCCGAGGCAAGCCTCACGGCATTGCTCTGTCTAGCATATTAGACATCACATTATGTAGCGAAATTCAACATGATTTATTTATTTTCTGCCCACTATTTCACCGAACAGGAGAGGCAAGCCTCTCTCGTTTGGTGTAGTTCTTTTAATTAGCAGCGTTGCCGTTTTGGTACAAAGGTACCCAATTCGCTACATTTTTTCCCTCGGGGTATAAAAGTACATTTTAAATAAAACATAGATTTTTATTTGAAAATTGTAACAACATTGGAGTATTTTCCTTTAGTAGATGGTACTATACATATTGTTCTATTGTTTTCCGATTCAACAAACAATATTTTTTTTCTATGCATTTACCAGATTAGCAACTTTGGTACAGTTTGGAACATTTCTGCAAAATTGTTGTAGTAAGTAGTAGTTAAATTACTTCCTGTTGACCTGTTGGTGCGGCAGGATCACGTTTGACTTATCTCGTGTTGTTTTTCATTAAAAAAACAGTAAGATTACATGTTATATAATAAGTGCAATTCTAATTAAGTTTTTTTAATAATTTTGGTGGGTTTGTTTTTGTCTGCAGGATTTTCGGTTTTAGTGAAAAACGGATTTAGCACCGAGCACTTCGTCACAACTTTCCCAGGTAAATGTAAATATTCGTAATACTTGTAATCTCGTAAATTTTTTAGTCAAACAGCAGAATTTTTCAAGTCATTCATATGAAGATAAATTATATATAGTTAAAGTAGTAAAACGACCTATTCTAGATTTAAGTAAACATCTTGTTTCTATCGGTGGCGTCGGAAAACCAAATCGGGGATTTCAAAATGCATGGTACGAAAAGTTTGACTGGCTT